GTCTCCTTGAATTGAGGGAAGAAACGCAGAAGATTTTTTTTTCTCTCGTCTGTGGTTTTCGGGCCTCGCGGAATCTCAAGTAGTGACTCCCATCTTTAATTGACGAGAAAGCCATTTGGCTCGGAGAAAGTCTACATGCTCGAAACAAATGACGGCATGTTGAAAACTTATGGAAGCTCGAGTTTGCCTTATACGAACGGGGATTTTTAACGAGATTGTTTGTCTGGACACGTTTCATTGCACGCTTGTTTATGTAAGTTCAGGGGTTCCTCGGTTTTGGATGGATGGCTCTACGTTCGGAATGGGCAAAAAGGAGAGCTGGACTTCGTTTGAACACAGCTTTTTTATTTTCCAACGTCTGCTCCGTAACTCTCGAACGAACACACCTTTTTTCGGTAACGAAAAACACTTCCTGCTATTCTTCGCCAATCAGATGCAAGCAACATAAGAATATTTCAGCAATTATTAAACAGAATATAATTTAGGTAACTGTAACATAAAATAATATAATGCTCAAATATAAAATGATAATAATTAACAATTTAACAAAAGCTTACACAAATAAAAAGTGCATGAAAAATATGATTCACCATCGCCGCTTATTATGCAGAGTAGGCTTGGTGCGTGTGAATCTCCCGTTGAGATAAAGCCGTATTTGAAATAGGACTCCTAATACTGTCTATTAAATGTAGCCTTCTCTTTCTTGAAAGTCGTCGGCTCCTCTTCCGTCTCCTGGCTGGGCCTTTTCCCCTTCCTGAAAAAACTTTTTAAAGACGTTTGTTTTTTTATGCGGTAACCTATCACGTGACCGAGAAGCACGCATTCACCTGTGTCAAGAGTGACATATTGTAGAATGATATAACAGAATCCGATTTTTTTTTTTCAAAATAAAACATCTTCCAGATTCCGAAGTGAATAAAACGGAAGTAATGTAAGTTATTTCATCTTTCTATACGCCCCGGGGGTTGGGGACCGCTGCTCTACATCTAAAGTAATCTGCGGCATGCACGATTTGCAGTTCACTGTTCACCTATTTAGGCTTTTTTTTCCTGTGCGATGATCAGCCACCAGCTATTTGCTGAGAACCAGAGTTTTAAAAGAAAGAAGGTCCTTGATTTACGGCGGTCTCTGTCGCCTCTCAAGGTACTATGTCGGTGTAGACTTGAGTCATTCATGTCAACTGAATGAACACATCTTGGTTGTTGAAGACGTTTCAACTTGGGATTCTTCTATTCCAAATCTCGGTTTGCTAACGTCACCGTTGCTTGAGACAATCCACGGGAGAGTGATGTCGGGATAGTGTTAGCTGATGACCAGTCATGACGCAGACCTCCTCCTCTGTTTGGAGAAGGCAGCAGAACCGAAAGTTCCTTCTTTTTGAGATGCAAATGAACTGCTGACTCTGGACCCATGTCGTGCCATGTGTTAATTTTTGGTGGTTGCTCGGTCACGCCGATGTCAAGGGCACTGCACCCCTCACGACACTACACTGCACTGCATGAACAACATTGCTGAGTTTGCTGTTCTGGATTCTGTCCTTGGGTTTGAACCGTCTTTTGTCTGAGGGGGTCGCTGCGTTTGAAGACAAGCCACCCATGTAAAGGACCGCGGCGTTACTCCCCCTATTGTTGTCGTCCCCGGGATTGGTCTTCGTGGCTTTTCTTCTGTCAGATAAGACAAAAGCCCACATCTAACTGGGTCAGTCACAGTGACGAAGCTCTGCAGGAGCCTGGTAATGATCCTAAGCATTTGAATCAGGTTTATTGGAGGAGGGAAACATCTAAAATATTGCCCTCGAGGACCAGAGTTTGACACCCATGGTGGAAAGAATGTCATCGTGTGCAACAAGAAGGCACGCTCAGTTACCGCCAGTTTTTTTTTTATTCGTATTGTTGGATTGGAAGTGTTTTCATATGAAAATTTTCTGTAATTATCCATCCATCCATCTTCCGATCCGCTTATCCAGGGTTCCCACGGGTCCGTAAAGTTCATAAAAATAAATAAGAAAAGAAGTTGTAAAATTATGTTCTTAATTGTCCTTAATTTTCAGGGAAAGCTTCGAAAATCAATAAAAATCCGTAAAAAAAATATTTTTATTCCAAAATAAACTGGTTTTATATTTTCTAAATTTAAAATTTTCTTCGTGTACTTTATTTGAGAATGAATTCGGGTTTGTTTTTCATTTTCCGACCTGTAATACAGGTCGGAAAATGAAAATTTGACATACAGTATGTTAAATAAAGAGTTAGCTGATTGCCCCCAAAAATATAGATGTGCCCTTCCTTTGGCAGCAATGATTTGAACACCAGCTCAGTGATATGTGGCTTTCTATTTAGCTCGCATATTGCTGAGCGGACATTAAATCAACCGTGAATCCCCTGCTGAATGGAGAAAAAGTCCTTAAAAATTTGCTAAATTAGCCCTTGAAGTCCTTTAAAGTCCAAATATAAAAAGCAAGTGGAAGAGTGGGAACCCTGTTATCCTCACCAGGGACGCGGGGGGTGCTGGAGCCTATCCCAGCTGTCTTCGGGCAGTACACAGGGGACACTCTGAACCGGTTGCCAGCCAATCATAGGGCACACAGAGACGAACAACCATCCACACTCACACATTGGGACAATTTTGCGTGTTCAATCAGCCTGCTATGCATGTTTTCGGAAATGTGGGAGGAAACCGAGTACTTGGAGAAAACACGCAGGAGAACATGCAAACGCCACACAGGGAGGCCGGAGCCGGAATTGAACCCAGTACTCCCTCTGGACTGTGAGATCGACACGCTAACCACTGGACCACCGGGCCGCCCTTTTCTGGAATTATGAATTTAGTAATGCGTTAGGATGGGTTCCGGATAGACCTTTGGGCACCGTCACCGCTGTGTGAATGCAATTGTCATCAACTGAGCCTCTTTGAAGTGGCACACACTGTCATAGTAATTCCATCGCTTCACAGAGTCGAGTCAAAGTCTGTTCAAGAGCAAAATAGGCGACAAGTTTGGAACGCTACTTTGATCATCCCAAGCGTGTGTTGCTCAAGCAATGTTGGGCCTTTTTTGTTTTTTTCACAAAGGGAAGAAATGATGTCACGCCATTGCCCGCTTTGCGTTCCATCAGATTGCTCTGATGTTATCCTAAACTGCTCACTGGCTCCTTGTTTGGTTGAGTGACTTTGATGGTACACGCAAGGGGCCTCGGTTCAATGACAGCGATGCACAATGAACTAGTTTGCACAGTGGCGGAAGAAAATGTTGTCACAAGAAGGCATGTTCAGTTGTCCTGGTACTTGTTTTGGACTTTTGACCTAGGAATTAGAACATATCAACCGATAATGCGTTCTGTTTGGGTCACGTTCACTGACAATAATGGCCGGCGTGAACCAAGGACCCGCCGCGTCTCGTCTCGCGTGCATGGGAACTACTCAGCGACACGTTTCTCTCCCTTTCTTGTCTTCCAGCCCAACGACTTCTCCATCTCGCTGAAGGCGCAGAGCAAGAACAAGCATTTCAAGGTGCAGCTGAAGGAGAGCCTCTACTGCATCGGACAGCGCAAGTTCAACTCCATGGAGGAGCTTGTGGAACACTACAAAAAGGCGCCCATCTTCACCAGCGAGCAGGGTGACAAACTCTACCTGGTCAAGGCCCTATCCGCCTCCTGATCCCAAGAACGCAATCTCATCTAGACACACACAATTGTAAATGTCTCACACACACACACACACACACACACACACACACACACAGGCACACACACACTATACAGAACACACACTAACATCAAGCCTGAAGACTTTACACGTCGTCGGGACTTCTTTTGCCTGGTTGAGCATTCCAAGAGGAGGATGGGAAAAAGGCATGAGAGGAGGAAGAATGTTGGGAGTGTTGGGAGACGAGAAGAAGAAGAAGGAAAAAAAAAAAGACTAAGGACTCCTGAGAGCGGATGATGGACCTCTTGGCCACTTATTTATGTGATCCAGATGTGTTTGCTGGCAGTCGTGTATTTCCACCTCCATAGCTTAGTCGCATTTAGTTTGTCGAAAATGTATACCTAATCCTTTTTAACCATTTCTTTTTAAAAATGTGACTTTTTTTTTGTTTTGTTTTAACTGTAAACCGAGCCCCTCCGGTATGAAGCTTTTTTTTTTTCTCTCTCTCTCTTTCTCCAAGATCTCAAGTTGTTAAGGCAAATCATGACATCTGCTAGTTAAGCGACCAAAATATATTTATTAATCCTGCTGGTTGTAGAAACAATGTGCATCTCTTTTTTGGGGGTGGGGGGGCGGGGGTACCTGTATCCCCCCCCATTGTCAGACCTTCAGAGGAACTGTTGAAAGTCCAGAAATGTTTAAGTCAAGTCACAAGTGTCCAGAATTTTTGAGGCCTTTCCATTGTATTTATTTCATGCTTTAGAAGAGACATGTTTTGTGTCCCCCCCCCCCCCCCCACACACACACACACACACAAAAACAGTTCACAAATCTCAATGCAACTCTGCTTACGTTTTGGCTTTTGCTCATACATGATAATGCCTCTGCATGGTGTTTCAGGCCATTGCTTGAAAGGGGCTCTGGATCTTCTCCCACCCAAGCAGGTGATGTCATTGGTGAAGAAACTCTACTCTTGTGTAAATTAGCTCCACACGCCAGACATCCAACTTGTATACCAGCCATTAAAACTCAATATTCTACCATATGGCTTCTTTTTAGTAAGGCCCTCTAGGTTCCCCGCCCTTGTTCACATGGATGCTACACGAAACATAGCATGTCCAACCTGGTATTCATTTCAGGTGTTAGGAGGTTATGTGAAAAAGAATCAATCGTCGGACGCTTTAACTAGAGGAAGTGGGCCTGCTGGGAAGGCCTTGGTGGGGGCTTCAAGACACCTGCCTTCTCGGCAGAGCCGCGGGGTAAACTGAGTCCAAAAGATGATGTCACTGTGCTAAATTAGCATGGCTGAAGGGAACGGACGAGGGGGAGGTCTTTATCGGTGGCAATGTGCCGGTTGTGCTTTGGAAGTGTGAGATTCCATCTGGCAGAGACACGGGAGTGTGCTGTTATTTGTCGAATAGAAAGTGTCTTGTCGTAATCCAGATTGAGCGCTGCGCATCCGTGTTTTCTTGGATGAAGACTTGTCCATCTGGAACGCGAGGGAGGAAGAAGGATTTCAGATGGGGGCGGGGGGGTGGAAAAAGGAGCGAGCGATTGAGGGAGGGAGGAGGAGAATGGAGTCCCGTGTAGTAGCGCATCTGGATTTATGCTCCTCGTCCTGGTTTGGGTGGGGAACGGGGATAGAATTTCCACACTCTCCAGGTGTGCGTCGAGGTAAGCGATGACTCGCTAAAGAGGAAAAGCCATTCCCGCTTTTAGATTTATAATGAGAGCTGGTTCACGTTCTGGGACGAATCCACCGGAAGGTTTTTGTCCAGTAAAAGCTGTTTTCACTTGACACACACAAAAAAAAAAATTCAAGTTCCTCACAGGATTCATCTTACATTGCGTATTATTATTATTTTTGGCTCTTACGTCCGTTGTTGTGACACTTCAGAGTCTTGTGAAACTTCCCCTCTTGTGTCCAACCTGTGATGTAAAGCGACTAATGCAATGGAGGATTTGGGAGATTTTTTTTCTTTTTTAATTAACGTGCCTTTACAGCTTTTTGTCAACCAAAGTGTCATTTTATTTGTTTATTTTGGCTAGTCTACCATGTTTACTTGCCATGTTGCGTGGCGTTTGTTTTTAAAGCAGTGGTGTTGAACCTACGGCCCCGGGGGCATATACGGGCAACCGGAGCTAGACTTTTCGGTCGGCCATCCAAACAATGAGTATTTCATAAGGCTGGACATGCAATTTTCCAAACATATAAACCCACTCACCTTAAAAATGTACCTCATTTATTTTCTCCTGATATATCAATAATTTGTTCCTTGAAGGGTTTTATAAAGGTTCTCCACCTCAGCTTTAAAGCATTCCGTGTTGCATATGAGTTATCGGGGTGCTCGTCGTCGACTGAATTTTTAAAAACATTTTAATTTATTTTTTGATCCTTTTCTCCCCACCCAGATCCATAAAATGCCCTTTGTGTCTAGTTTTCAAGTGTCCTTAGATAGCAACCATAAGTGAATGCCTACATGTACAGTTGAGCGGAATCGTGCATGGAGACGTACGGAAGCAAGTCAAGTGTCACATTTGTTTGAACGTTTGTTTCATTCATTTTTTTTCTTTTCTTTTTTCCGTGTAGCCACCTACAGTAGATTTGTAAAAGTCACATGTAAATGTTGGTATTGAAATACAAGAATGAAGCAGACTCTCGCTGCTTTTTAGATTTGTATATAACGGCTGTAGCTTTTGTCTCTGCACCAATGGAGCCCGCATGGGCAGTGGAGAGAACAAAAATCTGCTTCAAATACGTCGGAAACCACTTGAGACAAATATACAAATGACCCGTTTCCTAATGTTGGTGCTTACCGAGGGCTGCTTACATAAAAATGTAAGCAGCACAGACAGCCCCCACCCCCCACCCGGCTCTTCGTGTGCGCAAATCTGAAACAAGCAGATCTACGCCGATGTGGAATGGTAAAAAAGCAGTGCTGTGAAAATGTTTTGACATGCTCTTTATGCTGTTTTTAACTGAGGGGAGAGCGTCTTCAGGTGTTATAATTTAGAAGAAATTATTAGTATTTCAAAGACGTAATAAACAACAAAATAAAGCCATGAAATTGTGTTTTAATGTGCAAATATTCAAATATACCAACATAGTTTAAATCATCTGCTGTCCATGTTTCAAAGTGTATGACATATAATAATTATATAATATAATCATATGAGTATTTCCTCCAAAGCTCCCCTTTTGGCTTAAAGTCAACAGAATTTTAATTAATTTGTTACTGTAAACGGAAAGACCCTTCAAAGTGGATTGGACAAACATGATGTCACTCACACGAGCAGGGACCAATCGGAACAACACGTCGTGGGGTTTGGGGGAGGAGGGGTTACTTCCGTTAGTCGGTCGAGACAGTGAACACAAACCTACCATTTATTTCTCTCCTTAGCATAGATGCTACAGAACACACACAAAAACCTAATTTCTTTGAGACGTAGCCGTTGCCAACTTATTTTATGGTTTCCTTTCTGTAACCTGTTAACCACGTTCACAGCTAAAGGCTCTATCACCTTTGAGAACACTGATTGGTCCGGCTCGCCAGTATTCTACCTAATTGGTGCATGGTTGGAACTTCATTGTAGTTTTAAAACAAAAGCGGGCGGCGACGTTGAAAACATGGCGACCCCGGAAATGAACGAGAAATAAAATCTAAAACTATTTTGGCCTAATGACAAGCTATTAGCGCATAAATTGAATCGCTGGGGTTTTGACGTGGCCAACCACCAAGCGTATACAATCTAAATTCAGCCACGTTTGTCCCAATTCTTCTCAACTTTTCAGAACATTCGACAGCACAGCAGCACATGAAGCCCTCTAAACTACCGATGGCGTCGTTCACTGCCAGTGTAGAAGAGCACTTAATTAATTTGCGCCAGAATATTTATGCCTGCTGTGTTACTTTTGGCCCCCTCGGTGGAAATATTCTCGTGCTAAGGGTTGAGCGTTTGTGTTTCACTTGAGCGCTACTATTGGACCTGGCCTTGTGTCAACAAATGATTGTGGAAGAGTGAACTCTAGTGGGCATTTGCTGGTTTACACTTATCCGTTTATTTTCTACTTTTCAATGGATTTGTTGCTAGAAAATTCAGCTACAAAATTCAGTACTGTATATGGTTGTATTCAGACAACCTGTACAGTTGTAAAAGGGGTCCTCTGTTAACAACGGAGCTCCATTCCAACTTTAATGATGTACCCCGGATACGTACGTAATTCCGAATGCGGTCAAACATGAGAGGAAAATCATAGTTTTTTTTTTTATTTGGATAAAAATGACTTCTAGGTTATATACGTGAAACAAATGGCAAACGGTAAGTTGTAAAGCAACAATATTGTGGCACTTTTCCTGTTCTATGTTGTGTAAAACTAAATATGGTAGTCATTATGGCAAACCTGACGGTATCAAACGCACGGAATATTTATTCAAATGTAATTAAAACTTGTCTTCTTCGTTTTCTTCGACCTTATTGTACTTTACAAAGCTTTCATTCTGCCTAACATTTCATGCTGTATGCTACCTCGCCATCTTGTGGCAGTTAATGTTACGGCTAAACCGAAAACCTGAATCTATATTTTGCTTCATGTAATTCAAGTTTGGTAACCTTTTTGCTGTTCGGGACCGCATATGACGTTTTCGTGAATGAATGAATGAATGAAAGTATGCGTTATGAGTATTTTTTTTTCTCCATCCAACAGATTTGATCACAGCAGTTTCTACCGACAAGTATGACATTTTGATGGAACATAAAACTAAAAAGTTTGATTTCATCAACTGTACAGTCAACATAAGGAGCCCAGATTGATTAAACAACAACAAAAAAAAACCCAACAACAATAAAAACTAATATGTGTCCATAGAGTAGCTGTGGCTCAGACCGGACAGTTAAGTAAGCAAACTTGGCACACCTTTTCGACAAAATGGTCATGCTAAAGATGATGGACAAGGATGATTTATTTTTATTTTGGAGCTACAAAAGCATTATGAAAAGCTTGGCATTCTAGACTATTGGGGAGAACGGAAACTTTAAGGGCATCACATATTGTAGTTTCTATTAAGGGCTGCTCCAGTTGCTTATCCAGACGTTCAAGTTGGTAATGGGAATTATTTTAAGACCCCAAATGAGTATTTTATGTGCATGTAAAACCTTTTTTATCGCGGGTGTCTCAACAAAACATAACAAAAAAGGGTGTTTGGCTAGGCTGGAATGGATTAATGGCATTTTAATTAACTTCAGAATGAAAAACTGATTTGGTCTATGGGTAAACTGAGTTACAAGCTTGGTCAGAGGAATAAATTCAACTCATATGTTGGGTACCACTGTATTTTAATGACCGTAATATTTAGACCCTATCACTGTGATTACATTGTACTGTAATGTTTTTTCTCCCATGTCACATCTGTGGCTCCGGCAAAGTGCAATAGTTTACTTTTTAAAAATGATTGAAATGTAAGGCTTAATCAGTGAAAGGCTTCAAGTTCTGAGGAATCGCGTTGAGCTGGAATGTCACCATTTAGAAGTATAGCAAATCGGACAACGCGGCAGGCAGGTGCGTCATCAGCTGCACTCGGATCCACCAGTACGGCTCCATGGTGTTGTACCTGGTGTACGGACGCTTGGACGTAATGGCGTCGGCGATGTCGTCCAGCATCGGACTCGCATCTTTGTGTCCGCCGTTGCACTGTGAGCGAATCAGTGTCATGATCTGATCAAATCGCCCTTTCCCGTAATCCTCCCGGACGTCCTGCGAGGCCTCGCCCCACAATTTGTTGGCCGTGCTGGCCAAGACTTCGCGGCTCGGGCTGCCCGCGGCGCAGGCGGCGGCAAAATTCCCCGGCTCGATGACGGACACCTTGACGCCCCATGACTTCATCTCGTAGCGGAGGCAGTCGGAAAACGCTTCCAAGCCGTACTTGGACACGCAGACGGGCGACTGAGCAATATTGCCCATCCGGCTGTACAAGCCGGAAACATTTACCACGCGACCTGTGAGAGAAGCGCAACAATGAACAAGAAATTACGTGGCACCGGAAGGACATCTTTTTTACTCTTTTGTGGATGAGAGCTTCATTTTCACAAATATTTCCTGTATTGGCCAAAGTCACCTGGAATAGGCTCGAGCACATCTGTGACCCGAGTGGGGCTAACAGCTGGAGTGGATTGTGTTAGGTCATCGCCATAAGAACGAAAGTCCACCCTAAACCTCTTTCGAATGGCACGTGAAAACAGTTCCATTGCTGAATTGACGCGAACTTGGTTCAAGAGTGAAATGTGAGTTATCTGGAACAGGATCGCCAGCTGAAAACCCAATACGGTCAAGGCAGAGTCACAGGAAAAATGTATGAAAACCACTTCTCGGGATAAAACAATCTAATGGAAAAACAAAAGTATGGCGCTTCGAGTGCCTGCCATCGGTCACCTCAACACTTTTTAAGTCCGTGCAGCCAATCCAAGAAGCCCCTGTTCTATTCTAAACACACAGACGGTCAACATTGTTCCGGATCAAATACAATAGTAAAGTCTCGTGGTCCAAAGCTGAGCCTCATCTTAAGAGAATTACTCCGGCCAAGAATGTGGCCCACAGCGTCACAATTAAGTCATTCGTTGGCGTCTTTGTGGCAGCGAAGCACAAAGAACGATTCGAACGGGATGTGTATATTTTCCAAACCGCGGGAAAGCAAATTGTCACAACCTCATCATTTGCGGTGACTCTGCGCTAATTTAGCCAGTCGGCCCGTCAATCGAAAGCCTCTTCCACGCAGAGGTCAGAGCTGTGATGAAAAATGAATTTTGTTGCCCCCACCCTTGGCTCGGCGAATGAGCGGCAGAAGTGCTTTGGTGACCCGGATGGTGCCCCAAAGGTTGACCTCAGAAACTTCTTTGTAGGCTTCCACGGAGGTGAACTCCACTCCTCCAAACGTGGACACGTCGGCATTGTTGACCAGCGCCCACAGACCTGGGTGGTGGAACCCGGACACAAAAAAAAGTTACAGGACGAGCAAAGATGTCTATTGACTCGGGATTGTTCTAACCTCTCTGCGAGTCCTTCAGGTTGTCTCGGACAAACTGGGCAGCGCTGTTCACCTGGTCTTCGCTGCGCACGTCCAGCTGGACCACCTTCATGCGCTCGGAGTGGAACTCCTCCAGCACCTTGGCACCCTCTCCGCCTTTATCCTGCAAAGAAACTATTCTCCATTTTGTAGCTCGTCGTGTCAAAACACGACGAGGTTACTGCCCCACTTGGCCACAAATCAACGCGTGTTGTAAACTGCGGACCCACTATACTGTCTTTCAAATGCATTTCCCCAAACTTTATGCGATTGATTGCCACACTCACCTTAAGCAGGCATCCCGCAAAGACGGTGAAGCCAAGTTTGTGCAGATGTTGGGCCAGAGCCAGACCAAAGTCGTTGTCACAACCTGTAATGAACACCGCTTTGCCCGTCGCCTGCACAAAACAAAATACCAATGTAGGGAGTGCTGATGTACTCTACTGATTGCGGCGCCAGGTCTCAAAATGGGTTCTCCGGACCACAGGGGGTCTGCAAACCACAGCTTGGGGGTCCGTAAGATAATATGTGCATATTGTGTGCCAGTAAAACAAAATAAACCAATTAGTCCTTCCTATTTGATATATTCTTTTTACAATTGTAACATCGACAAACTTTCTTGACAACAATTCTTACTTTCATGTTAGCCAAGGCCTTGGCACCATCTTAGGGTGGTGCTGCTGGAGCAAAAAAAAAAAAAAAAAAGCAGAGCTGCAAATAGGTGCGTTATCGGCAGATAATAGGTTCCACCGAGAAAAACTGTAGCTATTTTATTTCTGTTTTTATTCAGAGATAAATGTGTTGACTACACAGTAAATGCAATAATATCACTAGAAATAAATTTACCTGGTAAAATAGGACTTATTTGTTCTCTTGTTCAACGTTGACTTCAATACCACAGTAAAACTTTATTGCGGAAAAATTACTTATTCTCCCAATTGCGCCCCCCCCTCCCCATCCCCCAATAATAAGTGCATTTTATTTAGTTGGCGAACCCGCACCGCTTTGAAAAACTCCGTATCCAGATAATGTTGCTCGTGATGCGTTCACGGCCCCACTAGTTACCTCCACCAGCCCTCTGGGGATCCGAGGTGTCGCGACATACAGGGCGAAGAGCAAATAGCAGACCACCACGCACTCGCTCGCGTTCGCTTCCGGCAATCCCAGGAGTCCCATGACGGCGTTCAACAGAGCCGGCAGGCCGAAGCCCAGTGACACGGTCACGAATGCGGAGAAGGAGACGAGAAGGCACACTCGGAACGCGGAAAGCGGCGCCATCTTAGCCGAATGCTGCCTTTACGTTCCGGGACACGCCTCTCGGGCGACAACCTTAATGAGACAGACATATTCGGCTCCCGATATAGAATAACAGTTTTATTCATTCATTTGTTGCTTATGAGGTGTCAATACAGGCAATGAGATCAATGAGCGAAAATTCGAGAAGCTATAGTCAGCGAAACCGGAAGTACATTCGAGTGAACCATCTCCCTTCGTGTCAGGTTCAATTTCATGACTTCGGGCAGTGCTAATTTGAAACGATGAGTCTTAAGGTATTTTCATGTTGTCTATAATGGGGACCCCATGAAATCGAAAATTGCCTTCTTATTTTAAATACTGTCTTTGTTTTAAGAATACCCACAATGAGACTTCAATGGTCGGTTCTGAATTCAAAAGTCATCATCACTCTTGTCCAGCAGATGGCGTTTCGAACCTCCCCTGGAAGCGCAAGGCGCCCTTGCTTCTGGACCCCCCAAAAAGCCGTCCGATCCCAGGCCTTCATCTTCGTCTTCATCGAGCTCGCTCTCCTCTGACTGAAAAGTAACATTACACACAACTTGTCAACCCCAATACATGTCCAGGGTATGTTTAACAAACGAAAGAAAGGAATGTCCAGCCAAAGTATATATCTAGCTCGTACATGGAGAAGAGACATTTGAAATATTTCTGGAGATTTACCTCATCACTGTCACTTGCCATCATGTTCCCAATGGCTGTTCCTAAATGACACAAACCATAAATGCGTTTTGAGGCTCTTGTTTATTATTTAGCAGGTCACATTTAGCGACGAGAAACTGACAATATGAAAACGGTGCAACTGCACTGTACCCCTGAAACTGTTGCCTTATCTGGAAACTAACTTTTGACTTCAAGCGTAATTGTTTTTGGTTACCTGCCACAATATCGTTTAGAGGGAGCCTTGGATTAGAAGTTTGACACTCATCGGTGTCGCCATTTTGGCCTTTGTCCTCAACTGCGTCCTGTTCATTAACTGCAATGAACACAAATGCATTTTTGAGTGTCATAAGTTACCACCGCCACAAGGTCAGTCTGAGCTGGCCATGTTTTGAAGCTGTGTTTGTCTCACTCGAACTCATACCATCCCCGTAATTCTCCTTCAGTTGCTGCATGATCCTCTTTCGATTGTTTTCCTCCTGCGGGTGAGAAAAGAGAAACTTACAAAAAAAAAAAAAAGAAAAACAAGTGAATAGGACTCTTCGTTGAATGTGCAGAAAGGAAATTGTCCCATAATCTGAATTTAAAAAAATAAATAAATCAATAAAGACATCTTTCCGTTCGCACACCTCAAACATCTTCTCTTGTCTGATCTGTTTTTCCTGCTGCCACTCGAGGTAATAGAAGTTGGCAAAGTTTTCCACTTGCAACTTGTATTGCTCCTCCAGCTTCTCCTCGATCTTCTCGTATTCATCCATAAATAATGGCCTGAGAGATCGAAAAGGAACATCAAGTCTTTGCTTACAACATTCCAATGACGATAATAATTATACTGTTCAAACAAAAGGTTTGAATCATTGTATTTTTTGGGGTTTTTTTTGGATTGGTCAGTGTTGTCTGTAAGCTTTATAATTGCTGGTTTGCCTGACAGTTGCTCCTTATTCGATATTTGTGCGATACTGAACTTTCTTGTACTGCCAAGTCAACCGTGGGAGTTTCTTTATTGTGGTACGACGTATTTCCCATTTTTCATGTGTCACACTGAAAAACTTAACCGGACACTTTGCAGCGTCTGAAGTCTCCTCTGATTCATCTCCAACTGCCAGTGTTTTTTTTCTTTCTTGGCATCCAGACTGGCGACATCGGAAACCACGTTCCTCATCATGACTTTGGTCTTCTCCACATTTTCCTTTGTAAAGGACAACCCGATTTTACGATACCCAAGGAAATGCTTTCACAAAATAACAGTGTCAAAACCTCATCCAAGATACAAACCAAGACCTCCTTGATGGCGTGCCTCAAGGCCTTTTCCGTCTCGCTGATCTCCAGAGGTCTTGCGATGGCCGCCGTTCTCAATTTCTGAAGGAAAGCACAAAACAAATCATTTCACGGAGAACTTTGGATCTCAAACTTTGCGATTTTTCCTCACTCTTAGGTCCGCCTCCTTTCCTAATAAGTCATACAGAGACGCTCCTTTTGACGTGGCTTCTGATGCCAGCTGCCGAGCTGCTTTTAGATCCGAAATCTGGACATAAGTCGAAAAAAAATAAGGGAATCATAGACACACACACACACACACAGACGATGTTGAAAATAATTCAAATCTAAGGAACCGCTGAATCCATACCGCAAAGAATGAACCCTTTCAGAGACAGCGGTCACTTGAGTAGGCAGCTATTTGAATGTTGTTTTCGCTTATAGTAATTCATCTTAATGTCACAGTTGTGCATCAACCACTATAATGGACCCTTACGCGTGTTGCCATCCAGTGATTTTTTTTTTCCATGCCTAAAGATTTATAAAAACACGAGGAAAAAAAATCCGGATGTAGGTTCTCATTATTTGTGCATGAAAGGATGAATGCAGTTAGAAGAGTCCAACTCACGTTCAGTTCTACTGTATCCACTTTCTTCTCCTGTTTAAGCCTTTACAGCCACTCAAAATAGGCAAACTACCTCCCCATGAAACAAACAAACCAAAAAAAAAAAAATGTTCTCACTCGAGTGCCTAGTTCAAATTTGAATTTGCTGTTTTCCTCCTCCATTCTGTCCTCCAGGGCCATCTGCTTGGTCTTCATTGCGTTGTACAGCACCGAAGTGATCTTTAGCATCTCTTTCACTGCGTAACCGTCGGCTTGGTAAAGGCGCTTGGTGTTCATTTTGATGTGAGCTTTTGTTGCCTGTTGCAGGAAGGGATGCACATTCGTTGATGGGGGGAAGGGGTGTGTGAGGGGGGGGGGGGACTTGTGTTCAATTGGAAGCGAAAATGTTACCATGAACTGAGCCACCGTCTTGATGAGGAATACTCTGTCTGACTCTGTGTTCATGTCAGACACAATTTCCATCTGGGGTTCATAACTATATTCGAGAGGAGGAAATTGGGCACATCGTTGAATGGATTAACACAGCGGTCCCAACCTTTCTTGCCCCATGGACCGGTTTAATGTCAGACAATATTTTCAAGGACCGGCCTTTCAGCCCGGATAAATACAACAAAATAATATGATATGACCTGCATGAAAATTGTGGTGTTCTCTAAACATAATAAACACGAATTATGACTCGAGGAACGTCCTGTCTGGCCTCAACAATCTCTGATCGCTGTGGTCACGTTTAAACGTGCCTTCAAAATACGATACAGTGCAAATACAAAGTTTAAGGAAATAAAACTCACGATCACCGCATATTATGCAGAGTGGACTTGGCGCGTGGGAATATCCCGTTGAGATAAATCCGTATTTTAAGTAGGACTCCTGATACTGTCTATGACCGGATAAATACAACAAAATAATATGATATGACCTGCATGAAAATTGTGGTGTTCTCTAAACATAATAAACACGAATCATAACGCGAGGAACGTCCTATCTGGCCGCAACAATGTGCGTGTGAATCTCCCGTTGAGATAAAGCCGTATTTGCAAAAGGACTCCTGATGCCGTCTATTAAATGTAGCCTTCTCTTTCTTGAAAGTCCTAGGCTACTCTTCTGTCTCCTGGCTGGGCCTTTCCCCCTTCCCAAAGACGTTTGTTTTTTACTTATTTTGCTAGCTCCTGAATTTCACTTTGGCGGTAACCTATCACGTGACCGAGAAGCGCGGCTTGACCTGCGTCAGGAGGACATTCCGTAGACGGGTGTAACACAGGAATCTGGTAATTTTTCAAAATAAAACGTCTATCAGATTCCGAAATGAATATAATGGAAGTAATGTAAGTTATTTATTCTTTCTGTGCGGCCCGGTACAAAATGACCCACGGGCCGGTGCCGGCCCTCCACCCGGGGTTTGGGGACCACTGTGTTAACATACAGAAATATAATCACGTATGTGTACCAGGGGATACGTGCTATGAATGTCAATCACTCGGACGGAAAAGATTAAATTAGTGGAATGTGGAATTTTGCATCGTGTCAGCGTCAAAAGTGGATGCAGGAAATTAAAATTAATAGAGCATATGAAATGTAGCATATTACTTACCTCCTTGATTAAAATGATATTAAAAAATCTTACCACGTACATCTCCATTATGTTTTTTTAACCTACCATTTAGCAAGCCATATTAGGATTTCCGCAACGAGCGTGAAGTTGGGGGTCCGGAAGTTTTCCACCGATATTAGGCGAGGAAAGCCCAACGCTCTCATCATTTCTGTAAAATCTATCAAGAGATCATTTTAGCAGTAAGATTGAAATGAACACCGCATATTAGCATACGCTACTTACTTTGTAAGTCTCTGAAAGACATCTCGCGAGTGGGCTCTGAGAGACGAAGTTTATGAAGAGCG